GAGAGAGAGAGAGAGAGAGAGAGAGAGAGAGAGAGAGAGAGAGAGAGATATGAAATATTGGTGGCTGTTCTATTCCTGCTAGTAACATGAAATGAAAACCTTTGGTAATAATGAAGTCATGAGGCCGGGGGACGAAGAGCATTCATGGATTCTGATTATTTTTATTTTAAACACTTAGTTTTTTTATTATTATTATTCTTTTTTTAAAAAAAAAGAAGAAAAGGGCAGGGGTGGAAATTGACAATTGTTAGGGGAGGGCTTAGCCAGGATTCAGTGTGTTTATACAGCAACGTTGCAAGAAATGTTCTTGCTCATCTCCTAGGGTAGTTCCAGGTATGCAAATGTCTGTGGTGTCTGTACCATCCACCAGAGTGGCTCTTCTAATCTCTGCTAAGAAAGCATATTAACACCGAGGCTCCAACCAAGTTTCCAGACACTCTCAGCACCTTGGCCCGAACGTTGTCAGCCCCTCGCTCATGTTTCCTCTTGTTTCACAGCTTTCCTTCATACGAAACTTTCACTCTCTAAATTGATCCAATTTATCAGTTATGATTCTTTTGTTAACAGGTTTTTGCTGTTGTTGTCTCTGAGGTCATGAAATTTCACATTTTTTGCAGTGTCCGGTGCTTGTCTGTCTGCTGTTTCTTATTCCACTGACCGGTGCTTATGTATTAGTTACAGAAATCAGCTGCAGACAATTTCAACATAATTTGACTTGGATTTTTGCAAGAGAATGAAGACCCCAAGTTCCAAAAATGAAGGCTCAGCTGCTGCTGTTTTCTGTGCTTCTGTGGCAAAGGGCAACTGGGCAGAATTCATAGCAAAACACCAGAACACAGTTCCTTCTGTGGATGTGGACAATTCCTAGGGGCTGGACCTTTTTTTTTTTTTCCTTTTAGGCAAGTGTTCCAGGCAGTCAGGAGACACATGAGCAAACTCAGTGTAGGTTCACTGAGTTTTAACTCTTCGATTTCCACTGGCTTCAACATGGTTTTATGGCGTGGTAGAATATATCCCACTTTGGAAAACAGCCCTCAGACGAAGGAAAATCTTTTTTAAAAAAAAAAAAAAATGAAACAAGTCAAAAAGTATCCTTACATCTTCTGATTCCTTTAAGGGCTTAAATAGACTGAACATGGATATGGTAATGTTTTGTTCACACCCTTATAAAGATTACTTAATAAACAGCCCTTGAGACTCCCCACGGTGAAGGGTGAACTGTAGGGCACAAGGCCTACTAGCCTCACGCAAGGCCACGCCTGTCAGTCTTCTGCTGCAAGCTTTTTCACAAGACAATGCTGGGTTCTTCTTCCCAGAAGCACAGTTCATCATTTTTCCTCTGCAGAGAGTGTGCTTCATTATTCATCCGACACTTACGATAGGATCATTTACTAATTTGTTATTAAATTAAAGCACCTAAATCTACAAACTGGAAATCTCTATGATTAAAAAATCATAGGTATGTGTAGGCTGATTATTTTAATTCACCTTAAAGGAAGGAATCAATACTTTAACTTTTTGGTACTAATACAAGAAAATGTTTAATTTCCTCTTGGCTTTAAAAATTAGGAGAACTGATTTGTTAGACTTGATTTCTTTTTTAAAATGATACTGAACTAGGTATTTTTGTTGTATTTTAGCATATGTAATGTAATGGTTATTTAATGTGTTTGTGTGTGTGTGCACGTGTGCACACTTGTGCACTCACGAGAGTGTGTGTGTGTGTGTATGAATGTACTCCACACACATGTATACACATGTGAGCTATGTGTATGCAGGTGAATGTATACATTGGAGGTCAGAGGTCAACATAGAGTATCTTCCTCTATGAGTCTACATCTTGCTTTTTGAGATACAGTCTCTCTCACTGAGCCTGGAATTCACTGAGACTCAGCTGTAATGGCTGTCAGTGAGCTCTTAGAACCTGGATGTCTCAAGTCCTCTACACCAAAGCTGCAGATGCCTGCTACTACTCCCAGCTTATCTGTGGGTGCTTGGAATCCAAACTCAAGTCTGGGTACTTGTGTGCTTTCTGCACAGAACCACTTCCTCAGCCCACAATCAATATTTTTAAATATGGAAAGAAGAAAAACATTACTATTTTTCTGTTACATTCATTCATTTTGTGAGATTGGAGCAGGCACTTTAGACAAGAGATCTTTTGGAAGGTTTTTCAGAACTGCCTTGTTTTCTATAGCACATGGCCCAGGCTGTTCTGAGGCTTGTGACACTGTTTTTCTGCTTCTGTCTCCACAAGGATGCTGGCAAGTGCCACCGCACAGATGAAAATTGTACTTTTATACCAATAAGTTTTTAAGTTAGAATACAAGGCGTCAGAGATATCATTGTAGTTTAGAGCATGGAGTACTTCAGCAGGCTTTCCTTCCTGCTCATCTTCTCCCATGTCCCTGCTTCCCATAACCCCTTGCTTTCTTCCCATAACCCTCTCTTGCACTCCTCCTTAGACACTTTTCATCTTCCATGTCTGTTACCATCTTCCCATCCTTCCTCACCACCTATTTGTCTCCTTTATAGTTTTTAGCTTATACATTTGTGTGTGTCTATCACATTTGTGTATGTATTCTTCTGTTGATGGGCAACTAGATGCTTCCACGTCCTTTCTAACTGTATTTCTGAAAATCATACCTCCTGTCAAGATTGACTAAGAGAGTGCAGGAGTTTCTCTTATGGGGATTCCTGGATGTCCTCAGCAAAG